TGGTAACAGCATTCAGTTATTATTATTAGCAGTGGCTCCTAATTGAAGGCCTTGTGGAAGAGCTCCATTTTACAGGCCCTGCAGAATTGTACAAGGTCCCGCAGGGCCCTGATGTGTTCCAGGAGCTCATTCCACCAGTGTGGAGCCACTACTGAGAAGGCCCTGGCCCTGGTAGAGGCCAATCTGGCATATTTCAGTCCAGGGAGGGTCAAATGGTTTTGAGACCCTGACTGACCTCAGCGCTCTCTGGGGGACATGCGCCGAAAGGCGGTCCCTCAGGTAGGCAGGCCCCAGGCCATATAGGGCTTTAAAGGTCAAAACCAGCACCTTGAAGCAAAATTTTTCTCAGCCTAACCTCCTACCTCACAGGGTTGTTTTGAGAGCAAAATGGAGGAGGGGGAGAAACCTGCATGCCACTCTGAGTCTCTTGGAGGAAGGGATAAAAATGTAATAAATGCATCCAAATTCTACATGTCACAGGAGGTTCTCCTCCCCTCCATGGGGTTCTAAAATGTGCTGGAAAAAAATGCTTTGGGAACCTTTGGGGCCAAGTTAGTGGTGATTTAGAGCAGAGAAACAATTAAGCATGAATAAACGCCAAGAGGGAAAGGTCTCAGGGAAATAGACAGCCAGAGAACTCTTTTCAATCTGAGCATAGTCTGCTCTTACCTTTGGAGTGTGATGGTAGCAGATGCCTTTGAAACCAGGGATGTGTCAAACTCATTGCACTTAATGGGACTTAAAATGCCAGGATAGGAATTTTGGTTTGCAACTTGAAAACATCGGCTAAGATTTAATGGAGATTTCCCTGGAAATCCTTCCATGTGCAATAAACACATATGTGGATCCAAACTGTTGTTTGCAAACAGAGAGGGCCAGAAATGGTTCTAAACAGCTTTGAGGCAAGACTGCTTCTGCTCATTTGTTCTTTAGGACGGAACTGATGAAAGCAACTCAGAAAAAGCATAACAGATTGAAGAAAACAGTGCCCAGCTCAGAAGTGGAAGCTGTACAGAAGTCTGAAAAAGAGCAGGGTCCAGGTAAACACTGTATCATCTTCATCATCATCATCATCATCGTCATCATCACCACCGCCACCACTCCTACTCCTACTATTACTATTATTGCTGCTCCTGCTATTTTATGATGCATTGTAGTCTAATCTATTAACGATCCAGGACAGCTAAGAGAGATCCCAAATGGGTATCTTCACATCTAATGTTATTTCACATCTAATGTGATCTTGGGTTACACATTTCATGATATGAAAGCCTACACACACGGAATGAACTACTAGGCGGCCATTTTTTGTCAACATGTGTTTACCTTTATTTAGTTACTTCATTTATTAAAATATTTGTATCCTGCCTTTTGTCTGGAAAGTCAGAGAAAACTCCCTCCCCCTCAAAGATGCTTGTTCTTTCTACCCCATCAAAAACCCTGGCAAACAAATAAGCGTCTCCCCCTCAGGATCTCCAACAAGCAGTCCCTCCTCACCTCTTCAGGGAGCCCATACCGTGGAGTGGGAACTGTGATGGAAAAGGCTTGGTCTGTAGTCGATACAGGGCAGGCCACCCTAAGTGGAGGAAGAGCCAGAAGACTATAGTTGGTGTATGGGTGTCTTTGAGAGTTGGGAAGAGCCAGTTTGGTGTAGTGGTTAAGTGTGCGGACTCTAATCTGGGAGAACCGGGTTTGATTCCCCACTCCTCCACTTGCACCTACTGATGTGACCTTGGGTCAGTCGCAAGCTCTGGCACAGCTGTCCTTGAAAAAGAGCAGTTTGTGTCAGAGTTCTCTCAGACCCGCCCACCTCACAGGGTGTCTGTTGTGGGGAGGGGAAGGGAAAGGAGTTTGTAAGCTGCTCTGAGACTCCAAGTGAAGGGCGGGATATAAATCCAATCTCCTCCTCCTCCTCCTCCTCTTCCTCTTCTTCTTCTTCTTCCTAGAGTCACATTTAGAATCCTTTAAGGGTCGTTATCTCTTATCTTCATGAGTCACATGTGGCTTTGCATAGCATGCTTGGACAGTCTATTCATTGAGGGCCTTTTTGACTGAGGCATTTTTGAACACTTTTGCAGAGGATTCTAGCAAGAAAGAGAATGATGAGAAGAAGACCTGGTGGCAGCCATGGCTGACTCACACGTCAAGTAAGTTCCCTGCAATCCCCACCCCCCTGGTCAAATCTCAGCCGACTTGTGATGGCCCAGTAGGGTTTTCAAGGCAAGAGACATTCAGAGGTGGTCTGCCATTGTCTGGCTCTGGTATTTCTTGGAGGTTTTCTGTCCAAATACTGACCAGGGCCAATTCTACTTAGCTTCCAAGACCCCCAGGTTAGGGCTTCCTGCACCTACGACACATAAAGACTTATATGCACTATTAGGGGTGGTATCTTTTCCCTTTAGAAATAAGTCCCCCCCCCCCGCTGCTGTATGCTAATAATTGATTTACCATTTGGGCTGCAGTATCTTGTCAAGTAACAAGTTAGATCAACCAGTTAAAAACCTGATCAGTTAAAAAAGGACCAGTCATAAGATAAAAAAGATAATTGTTTCTGTTGCAAGGAATTCATAAGAAACTATGGGCAGCTGGCAGAGGGAATCGCTCTCCAATTTAAACATTATCTTTTCCCTGGGTCCTTGTGCAATCAAATGTGTATTGGGAGTTCCATGCTGAGAATTTAATCCTGGGCATGTGCAAAGTTTCAATGAATATTAAAGCACTCACACCCCATGGTGATTTCAGAGCAATGAAAAAGTGCACAATCAGCATTACTTTGGGTTGGAACTAGCAGAAAATATCACAAAAGGAGTCGGCAGAGTGGATGTCCTCATCTTCCCCTTCCCTCAGTACCTAGCAGTTTGTCCCAAAAACCCTTCCTGAAGGTCAGCAAAATACACCACAGTACAAGTAGTTTTACAACAACAGGAAAATCTGGTGAAATCATCTCCACCTCCTTCTGCCATCAGTAGGTACCAGAAGAAGTAGCAGGGGAGGAATGGATCAATATTCCAAAACCAGGGCTATTTTGGGGCAGGAACGCACAGGAACGGAGTTCCAGCTGGTTCCTCAGTTGGCCACGCCCAGCAGGAACTCATTAGCACAATAGGCCACACCCAACAGCAGAAACTCATTAGGATTGGCTACATTAGAGGTGTGTGGCCTAACATGCAAAGAAGTTCCTGCTACAAAAAAGCCCTGGGTTTTGATAACAAAGTAAACAGAATAAGAAGCAAAAGGTGGGTGTGGCTGGGTGACCACACTTCTGGTAACATGGGTGTGTGGCCTAATAGGCTAATGAGCTGTGTTGTCAGGGGTGTGGCCTAATATGCTAATGAGGTCCTGCTGTTGGGTGTGGCCTATTATGCTAATGAGTTCCTGCTAGGCTTTTTCTACAAAAAAGGCCTTGTTCAAAACTATGGCTCTTCTGCACATTTGACTTACTCCTGATTTTCTTGGCAGTTGATCCACAAGCATTGGAATCAGTTTGGGCAGGGTTCTTCTGTACATCTGCCCTCCCTCTGCATTTTCACTTTTGGGAAGTCAGTTTATTTTCTTCCACACATGCCTTCAGTAATGAGGATTTTCAGAGGGTGCTGTCATCATCCATGGTGTCATTGCTGGCAGAATAGCACACACCCCCTTTTTAAAAAAGGCACTAAAATATTGATGTACTACTAAAGGTAAAGGTTTCCCTTGCTCGAAAGCTAGTTGAATCCAACTCTAGGGGGCGGTGCTCATCTCCATTTCGAAGTTGAAGAGCCAGTGCTGTCTGAAGACTTCTCCATGGTCATGTGGCTGGCATGACTAAACACCGAGGCGCATGGAACACTGTTCTCTTCCCACCAAAGTGGTACCTATTTATCTATTTGCAATTTCTTGCTTCCAAACAGCTAGGTTGGCAGGAGCTGGGCCAGAGATGGGAGCCCACTCCGTTACGCGGCACTAGGGTCTCAAACTGCCAAACTACAGACCTTCCAGTCTGCAGCTCAGCATCTTAACCTCTGAGCCACCGTGGCTCCATGATGTATTACTAGAGTGTTGTAAAAATAGCCTTAGCAGGTTCTCTGGATTCTCAGCTTTCATAAAAAAAGAAGAAGTAAGTCTCCATCTTCTTCCCTTGCGGATATTTGCCCTTTTCCTTATATCTCCTTGAGGGAAGAGGTAGAGACTTACTTTTTTTTTTTAATGAAGGCTATGGATTCAGAATGGAGCTGCGGTGGCTCAAGTGGTTAAGACGCTGAACTGCAGGCTGTGGAAGGTCGGTAGTTCAGCAGTTCGAGACCCGAGTTGCCGCATGATGGAGTGAGCTCCCGTCTCTAGTTCCAGCTCCAACCTAGCAGTTCGAAAGCAAGAAATTGCAAGTAGATAAATAGGTACCACTTCAGTGGGAAGGTAACAGCGTTCCGTGCGCCTTGGTGTTTAGTCATGCTGGCCACATGACCACGGAAACGTCTTCGGACAGTGCTGGCTCTTCGGCTTTGAAACGGAGATGAGCACCGCAACCCTAGAATCGGATTTGACTGGCTTTCGAGCAAGGGAACCTTTACCTTTTTATGGATTCAGAGAACCTGCTAAGACTATTGTTAGAATGCTCCGGTGCTATATCAATATTTTAGCGGCATTTTTTAAAAATAAATAAATTAAACTACCGGTCTTCAGGATAGTGGGGAAGCGAGTGGCTTGACTATGATAGTCCAATCATCAAAAAGTAGGCTGGAGTTGGTTGGGAGTGGGTGGGACAATGAAAACCAACAGAAACATTGTGCACAAGGAAAAAACTAATTCAAAATCAGCTTCCAGAGAAGGATTGGGGTAAAAGTGGTCTCAAAAGAACTGGGGGGAAATGGAGAAAAAACAAAAACAAAACAAAATGAAAAAAGAAGTGAAAACTAAAGGCACAAAAATGAGTGTAGAAATCAGGGAATAAACCAAGAACTGATGGGGGGGGGAACCATGTGGAACTTAGGGTTACCAAGTACCTACTGCAAATCGGCGGGGGACACATAGTTCTTGGCGGGAACAATCCCGCGGGGAAAACACACATGCTGCACTATACTGTCGCCCAGACGTAATGTAGGCACCAATGTTCCCTCTAAGCTGTGGAGTCTTGTAAGCGAAAATCCTACTTTGTGAGCTACGGGCATTAAAGTTGTGAGCGAGCCATTTGGTTGCTGCATAAATTAGTTTGCTTTGAGGCCATCCTTCCTGAGCTAGAGCAAAAATCTGTGAGCTGGAGGCTAAAAAACTGTGAGCCAGCTCACACCAACTCAGCTTAGAGGGAACACTGGTAGGCACGTAGCCGGTCGATGCTCTAGCAATGGGGCAGAAAACTCGATGGTACCATCGAGTTTTCAGCCCCATTGCCAGAGCATCACCCGGCTAAGTGCCCAGCATGCTGACGTCACATCTGGGCGACAGCATAGTGCAACACGGGTGTGTTACAGGCAGGAATGTTCCGGCGGGAAAGCGTGTGTCCCCCGCCGATTCGTGGTAGGCACTTGGTAACCCTAGTGGAACTGCCTGTCACAAAATTTCCTCACCCATTCCTCACTTCTCGCTGAGACCGAAAGGTCAACCAAAATGGAGACCTTGTCTCAATTAGCTGCACCCTATTCCTTTGACTACCTTGTCTTGTTGATTGTCAGATCACTTCCCCCATGTTTTTACTGTAGCTTCCTGGTGGAGCAGGTGCTCTGAGGTATAATTGTTTAGTAAGAAACCCCAAGACGGTCATTATTCTTGGTGAACCAAGGTAGTATGGCCTTGCGTATGCGTCAGAGAGTTCCCCCAACTTCTCAACCATGTCTGCTTCTCAGTGATTCGTGGCGGGAGCTACTACCTCTTTGAGTCAGATAGTGAGGAAGAAGAGGAACAAGGAAGCACTGAACAGGGCGAGGAGGAATCTCCTAAGAGGAAAACAGCATTCCAGGTACAGCCCTTGTTTGGTTTGTTTGTTTGTTTATTTATTTATTTCAGTTTTGCTCTCCTTTTCTCCCCAACGGGGACTCAAAGCTGCTGACATCATTCTCCTCTCCTCCATTTTATCCTCACAACAACCCTATGAGGTAGGTTAGGCGAAGAGTATGTGACTGGCCCAGCAAGCTTCCATGGCAGAGTGGGGATTCAAACCTGGGTCTTTCTGATCCTGATCCAGTGCTCTTAACCACTATACCACACTGGCTCTCAGTGTTCTAAAGTGCATCTGGACAAGTGAAAAAGGGGGCATTGGAAAAGGTACCTTTCCTTCAAACTAAGGGCAGTTGTAAGGGATGAAATCATATGGAGTGCAGACTATGAGGGAAGAACATAGAATGGAAAAGAACACATATAAGACTGCTTTATACTGAACCAAACTATTGCTCTCTCAAGGTCCGTCTTGTCTACTGCAGCAATTCACACAGAGCTCTTTAACATCACTCCCTGGTTCTTTTCATTGGAGAAGCCAGGGACTGAATGCAGGACCTTCTGCACATGCAAAGCAGATGCTCTATCAGTGAGCCATAGCCCCTCTCTGAAGGGGGCAAGGTTAGGGCTGCGACTAAAAAGCCTAAATTGGCCCTAACGGCAAGATGCATAGCATCCACTGTCTTATGGTGATGACATGGGCATAGGTTTTTGTGCTGTGCTGTGTTTGGACTCTCCTGGAAGGTGGTAAATGTTGGGAGTAACCGGTTAGTTAATCCGGTATCCTGTGTCAACTAATTAACTAATTAGAGAGCTTGGCACTATTCCTCATTGGTTTTTGAAGCTTTGATGTTCCTCAGAAGTGTGAAATGCTTTTGATGATCAATGATAAGCTCCAATATAGAATTATCAAAGGAAGGCTGCATGAACTATACTCTCAGATGAAGATATGAAACGCCTGAGACTACCTGGGATCTGTGTTAGTAGTAGTTCAATGTAAAGAGTTTAAGGATTGCCACACCCATGTGGACATATTGTCTAGTCCTAAACCTTGCCAAGCTCATTTCGGCATTTAGTGGATGTTCCACGGCTTTTGAAAATATTGGTCCGGTTCAAGGTTTATGTCTTTATTGATACCATTGTGGCATTCTCAAAAAGCCCTTCGCTTTTAATGACTTTGTTATTCATGAGTTTTCTATCTTGTAATTGGTTTATGTTATTGTATTTTTTCATTGTGTATGTATGAAACAATACAAAATCGATATTACTTATGAACATTTCATAATACAAAAACAAAAAAACACTTAGACTTGTTATTTGAATTTCTATTGATAAAAAAGCATACAGCATTTAGCTTAGGCTATTAGATTAGATTCCCATCTCAGCTAAGCAGAGTGCACCTTGGCCACACTCAACAGAAACTCATCGTTGTCAGTGTGCTGGCAGAGTTACAAAGTTACACAGAGCCACTTGTCAGTTTAGGACTAATAAGAGTCGTTTTATTTTAGGAACTACATTCTAGATAGTAAAGCTCAGAGATAGTGATAGGCTCTATTCTAACTACCTTGGATGGATACGGATGCTGAGAGGCATCCTGCATCCATTGTGCCAAAGATGGAGAGGGCAGAACAGAAGTAAGTAAGTTGTTTTCCCTGAGAACTATCTGTCTACACATCAAAGGGGATAGTGACAGAAGAGTAAACAGGAAGAAAGATCAGTGTTTGCCTATCTATTCTCGTCACATCTCCTGGAGGCTGAGACGGACAGCACCTTTCTCTTCTAACAGGAAATATTCACACTTCACCTCCAGTGATACTCCAGATCACAGCACAAAATACTATAATATTAACATATTATGCATTTGCAGGTGTGATATTTGTAGAAAAAAAATTCTTAAACACAAGTATGCTGATTGGTTCCCATTGGTCTTTCCGGGTTTCTTTTCCCCGTGTCTCTGCAAACACTGTTGGAATGCGTGGCATTCTCAAAAAGCCCTTCGCTTTTACCACCTGTAAAAGTAGAATCCAAACAGAGAACATCTTGAAAGTCTGATGGCCCACCTGAAGAATGTTGTCCAGTACCCAAAAGTAGATCTTTTCCTCTGTGCAGCTTGCATATGAAGCCTGGATGACGAGTTCAAAATCAGCTCTAAGGATGAGGGAGCAAGATGAAATCAGGGACCGACAGAAGGAAGAGGAGGAGGAGAAGCAGCAACATCCAACAGCAGGTGGCAGAAATGGTAGGTAGACACCTGAAATAAGTGGGCAAGCAGGAGGTACAGGTGTTCCTCAGCCGTACCACTGCAGCTGGGTGGGTGTGTCCTAGGTTCCACAGGCTGGTTCCACACGGTGACCTTTTTGAACTGTTTAGTTGCTCCTTTTCTGCATTTTCCTGCCAACCTAGCAGTTCGAAAGCAAGAAATTGCAAGTAGATGAATCGGTACCACTTCGGTGGGAAGGTAACAGCGTTCCGTGCGCCTTGGTGTTTAGTCATGCTGGCCACATGACCATGGAAACGTCTTCGGACAGCGCTGGCTCTTCGGCTTTGAAACGGAGATGAGCACCGCAACCCTAGAGTCGGACTCGACTGGCTTTCGAACAAGGGAACCTTTACCTTTACCTTTCTGCATTTGGCTTTTAGCAGAATTGAAAAGTTGGTTCTACATAGTGTTTAATAAAATATTACATTTCTAGACTTGCCACCCAGAGATATCCTACTATTATAACTAATCTCCAGATGACCAAGATCCATTCCCCTGGAGAAAATGACTGCTTTGGAGGGGGTACTGTGTGGCATTATATCCTACTGAGGTCCCGCCACTCCCCAAAGCCCATCTTTCCCACTCTCCACCCACAAAATCTCCAGGTATTTCCGAACCAGAGCTGTCAACCCTACACATTCCCCATAGACAAAAAATTCTATTATTTGTTTACTTGGACCTTCAGTAAAGATTCTGATACTCCCTGCATTTTCCCTTTTTATTCTGATGCTCAAGATGGCTCGCGAAAGAAAATAATAAAATATAAACAATATAAAACATACTTTAAATGCCTAAGACTGATTCTGGGTTGTCTTCTGGCACTCCAGAATAAATGCTTGGTTATCAGCTCTTCTGCAGGAGGGGGGGGGGAAGGGTGCTTAAGTACTCTTAAAGGTACTTAAGACAGGCAAGAGGGCTTAAGTTTTATTCTTTTGTTGCTAGCCAAGTCATTACTAATATATCATTACTTTATTGCTTAATTAGCAATTCTCTCTCTAAGCTGTGGAGCCTTGTGAGCAAAAAATCTACTTTGTGAGCTACTGGCATTAAAGTTGTGAGCGAGCGTTTTGACTGCTGCATAGATTAGTTTGCTCTGGAGCCATCCTTCCTGAGCCAAGACAAAAATGTGTGAGCTGGAGGCTAAATAAACTATGAGCTAATTCACACTAACTGAGCTTAGAGGGAACACTGGTTATTACACTGTTATGAAATAACGATCATTTAAAAGGGGGAAGGTCCGTGATGTGGTTTCTTGAATTTTGTTTTTAAAACTGCTCTTAAGCCCTTCCCACTTTCCTCCTATGGTGGCCTACCTGTATGGTGGCCTACCTGTAGAATCACAACTGACCTCCAAGCTGGAACCAGAGCTGTCAACCCTACACATTCCCCATAGACAAAAAAAATCTATTATTTGTCTACTTGGTCCTTCAGTAAAGATTCTGATACTCCCTGCATTTTCCCTTTTTATTCTGATGCTCAAGATGGCTCGCGAAAGAAAATAATAAAATATAAACAATATAAAACATACTTTAAATGCCTAAGACTGATTCTGGGTTGTCTTCTGGCACTCCAGAATAAATGCTTGGTTATCAGCTCTTCTGCAGGAGGGGGGTTGCTTAAGTACTCTTAAAGGTACTTAAGACAGGCAAGAGGGCTTAAGTTTTATTCTTTTGTTGCTAGCCAAGTCATTACTAATATATCATTACTTTATTGCTTAATTAGCAATTCTCTCTCTAAGCTGTGGAGCCTTGTGAGCAAAAAATCTACTTTGTGAGCTACTGGCATTAAAGTTGTGAGCGAGCGTTTTGACTGCTGCATAGATTAGTTTGCTCTGGAGCCATCCTTCCTGAGCCAAGACAAAAATGTGTGAGCTGGAGGCTAAATAAACTATGAGCTAATTCACACTAACTGAGCTTAGAGGGAACACTGGTTATTACACTGTTATGAAATAACGATCATTTAAAAGGGGGAAGGTCCGTGATGTGGTTTCTTGAATTTTGTTTTTTAAAACTGCTCTTAAGCCCTTCCCACTTTCCTCCTATGGTGGCCTACCTGTATGGTGGCCTACCTGTAGAATCACAACTGACCTCCAAGCTGTAGAGATCAGTTCCCCTGGAGAAAATGGCTGCTTTGGAAGGTGGATTCTATGGCATTATACCTTGCTGAGGTCCCTCCCCTTTCCCAGGCTCCACCCTGCCCCCCCAAAAAAATCTCCAGCAATTTCGCAACTAAACATTGGCAACTCCCCCTCCCCAAAGGGCTGATAATCAAACATTTACTGGTGAGTGCTAGGGCAGAACCCGCAAGCCCTAACAGGAAGTAATGAATCAGGCCGGAAGGAGAAGAAAGAGAAATTATTAAAGGAACAGCAGTCATGGGACACCTCAAGCAGACGTTGATTGCATACATGGGAGAATCTGGAACTGCAGTTGCATGTTAAGTAGGGAAAAAATGCTACAAATTTCTTATTTATGTCAGGAGGGCATTGTGCCTTTTAGAGGGTGTTGTTTGGACCTCTTCAGCCCCTGTAGTTTTGGGGAGCAGCTGAAGTTCTTGGGTTTGGTGTTGGTTGTGTTCTGAGACAATAAACTAGTTATACTTAAGGCCTGTTGAGCCTCATTCTTACATAGCGAAATTATTACAAAGACAGAAAAATAATGAATTTAGAACAGGGTTGTTCACAGCATTCCCTGGATGGCCTGTGAGCAAACAGGAAGCAAGTCATGGCAACTGAAGATTATATGGCCAATATGGAACCAGCCATAGAAAGCTAGGAACCTATTAAAATGTTGTTTGCATCTTTCCTTCTTCCCGCACTTTTCTCAGTGCATTTTGAGTGACAAAATGCAGAGCTCCCTGCGGTGTCTGGGAGTAGAAAGGACCGGATTCATAATGTTGAATTGCTCCATTTCTAGCCACTTAAAATTCTCGTTTTTACATCCTACTGTGCCACAGCCAACGAAAAAGTGGGATCCAGTGAAGAAAATCTGGAGGTGCCAGCTACGGAAGAGGATGAGTCAGGTGTGGTTGAATTGATTTTATACTTACTGTTTTTTTAAAAGGATGTTGTAAGCTGCCTGGAAATCCTTCACAAGAGAAAGGCAGTTAAAAAAAATGCCTTAGAGAAATAAATAAATGTAATTTCAAGCACATTTCCCAGGATGATCCAATTGTACCTTAGATGCTGTCAAAACAGCAATCCATTCACTGGGAAGAGTGGTGAGGGAGGGGTCAGAAATTAGAGAGATAGAGGCTCTCTTCCCAGTCGTCTGGCTAGCTGGGTATCTTGACTCCTCCTGCCACCGTGAACACCCCGTTGGCCCCTACAAGGTAACTGGGGAACAAATAGGGCTGCCAACCTCCAGGTCAGGGCTGGAGATCACATGGAATTACAGATTATCTCCACATGACCGAGGTCAGTTCCCCTGGAGGAAATGGTTGCTTTGGAGGGAGGACTCTGTGGCATTATGCCTTGGCTGCAGTCCCTCCCCTCCCCAAACCCTGCCCCCCCAGGTTTCCACCCTAACATCTTTGGGAATTTCCCAACCCAGAGTTCCCAACCCTAGGAGCAAATGTAAGACCATCTCCTAGCAGGTGCCTCCAGGATTGCTTTATCAAGAGGAAAAATGATGTGAGGAGGAGAAAAGAAACTTTAACTCTTTTATCCTCTGCCACTTTCTGACTGGCAAAAGCCATCCTTGAGCTGATTGACTTATATGTTCCTGTAGTTTTTCTCAGGTGTGGGTATACTGAAGTTGGGAAGAGACCTCTTCCTTTCCAAGAAATGGCCAGGGAGGAAAGGGTTAAAGTCTGTCTATCTGTCTGTCTGTCTGCCTCTCTCTCTCTCTCTCTCCCTCCGCCCCAATTGTTCCCTTTCTTAGTAAAGCAATCCTGTCAGCTAAATTTGCAAAAGGAATTAAAAAATGTTCAGAATAAACATGGAAGAAATCATAAGTCACCATGCAGTGCCGTAGCCTTCAGTCCGACTGCTGAGCCCCTGTACAGCCACCTTGTATGTTTGCCTTTGGTATGGAACTGCTGCTACTGCGCATGCCTAGACAGCAAGGGCACTGCACCTTTTCCTTCTCTTGTTACATTAGCTGGGAGGAGCAACAGGATGGTGAGGGGCAGTCAGTCAACAGAGAGAAGGGGATTCCATCATGTCTTTGACCCTTGGTCTGTTCCTCTTCCTGGCAACCTCCTGGCACTTTTATTGTGTTTCCCATCCATGAATGGTCTGCTGCCCGTAGTCCTAGCTTTCACAACAGTGAGGTCATAACTCTGGCTCCCCCTCTCTTCCTGTCACATGACCCTAATGTTTTAAGCTTGCCACTCAGAGGGTCCATGTCAGGAAAGGTTGACGTCCCTTGCCAGGAGGACCTGGCAGCCCTATCTGAACACCACAGATGTCATGTCCACTATGGCTGATGAGGTATATTTTTAAATCAGCTGCCACCACAGCACAAGGATCTTCTCTGCATGACTGAAGGTAAGCTGCAGCAGCCATTTTGCTGCTGGCTCCACCTCCTGTGGCAGCCATTTTGTCACTGTGCCCACCCCATTGTGCACTGTGTCAGAATTCCAAAGGTGCCTGCAGGCTCAGAAAGGCTGGAGACCCTAAGACAGGGGAACCCAGGTAGGTGTCCTGGAGACCCGTGCCTAAAGAGCTTTGCCAGATCTCAATTTATCTATATGTATTTTCTTTTTTAAAAACAGAAAATATCACGCAAAGAGGAATCAACATTATTAAGTTCATTTGGATCTTTAGCCAAGTGTTGCTGGATGACATCATGGAAGCGCTGAATGCCTTGTGCAAAGACACCCTGGACATAGCAAGTGTGATGAGAATTGAAAAGTGCATGCTGTGGCGACAGATGAGCTGGGTAAGATCTCCCTACTTTGTCCACCGTTTCCTGTTTAAAAGAGCAAGGGGGAGCTGATCCAGTGGCAGAGCAAGATGCAGACTCTGGTATTCAGAAACTCCCACTGAGGTAGTTTATCAGCTTTCTCACTCTGGCTGGGCTGTCCTCAGAAGCAATTGAAATCTTCAAAACCAATAACACTAAATCTCCTTTGGAGATTATCCTCCAAGTCCTTGAATTTATCCTCTCTTTTAAAACTGTGTCTATGGATAAATGAAGAACGAAAGCAGGTCTGTGTACCAGTATCAGTGGTTGGCATGGTCAGCCACCTTCCAGGGCCTCAGAGTTCAAGGAAGGTCCACTGCCCACCCTGGCCAATGAGGTAGAAAGGAGCACAAAGAGCTCACGCTTCATGCATTCCCCTAGGTGACCCATCTATTTGCTTTCTTTGTTTCTCTCTGGAAAATGGAAGATTATTTCAGATGGTTAGGCAACATTTCAGGGGCCTCTAAAGTACTCCCCTGCTAGGAGGGTAGCCAGGGAACAGAAGCGGAATGCTTTACCAAAGCCCAATGGGACTTGAAAGTAGTGTGAAGGAGTTGCGTTCTGTTCCCTCCTGTGGGAGAGACGTAATGCGTGTGTGTCTGTGAACAAGGGAGGCCCACTGGAAGTCACTTTGCCTGGGACCCTTTTGCATGACTTGATTACATGTGTGGCGCCCCAGCCGGGAGGAGGCGGTCTTCCTTGCCCCACTCGGCTGTCTCGCTGCGTTCCCAACCCCTTTTTAAACAGGGGAACGGGAGACCTCAGAAAATGGGCCGGCTACCAGGTTCCTTCACCGAGGTTAAGCCTGCGCCCCTGTGAGAGTTAGAGGGGCCGGTCTTAACATCGTCTCTCTCTCCGACGTCTCGGCCCCGACCCCCGTCTTCACTTTCCAGTTTCCTTCTTCTCCGGTCTCCCTTTCACGCTCCCCTTTTATACTTGCTCCTTCCCTCCCCTCCCTCTCATTGGACACGAGAGGTTCCCTCCTGGATAGTCCCACCTCCCTATAAAAGGGTAGACGCTCTGCCTGGGCGTGCTGATTTGACCACGCCCGAAGCAAAGGGGGGTGTTGTAGCTGGAAAATGGAAGATTATTTCAGACGGTTAGGCAACGTTTCAGGGGCCTCTAAAGTACTCCCCCGTTCCCTGCTAGGAGGGTAGCCAGGGAACAGAAGCGGAATGCTTTACCAAAGCCCAATGGGACTTGAAAGTAGTGTGAAGGAGTTGCGTTCTGTTCCCTCCTGTGGGAGAGACGTAATGCGTGTGTGTCTGTGAACAAGGGAGTCCAACTGGAAGTCACTTTGCCTGGGGCCCTTGCTCAGAACCGGGACAACATGCAAACACAAAATTTGCTTTGAAATTTAGACTTCCATAGCTCTTTGCTTTCCTTAAAAAAAAAAAGAAAAAGAAAAAGCTACCAGCAAGTACAAGACTGTAGTCAGGTATGGGAGGGAATGTGTTCCCTCCTTACTAGTTCATTTTAGCTTGCTTTGTGATCTGTGGAAGTGTACAGCTAGCCTTTCGGTTTTAAAAGCCCTCATTTCTTGTAACTCTGACCTGGATGGCCCAGGATATCCTGATTGTATCAGATCTTGGAAGCTAAGCAGGGTCAGACATGGTGGCAGATCACCAAGGAAGAGCAGGGTTGCTATACAGAGGCAGGCAAGGGCAAACCACCTCTGAACATCCCTTGCCTTGAAAACCCTACAGGGTCACCATCAGTGTTCCCTCTAAGTCGAGTTAGTGTGAGCTAGCTCACGATTTTTTACCCTCCGGCTCACACATTTTTGTCTTAGCTCAGAAAGGACGGCTCCAGAGCAAACTAATTTATGCAGTAGCCAAATCACCTGCTCACAACTTTAATCCTGGTAGCTCACAAAGTAGAATTTTTACTCACAGGACTCCACAGCTTAGAGGGAGCATTGGTCACCGTAAGCCAGCTGCATCTTGAAGGCACTTTGCACCACCAATTTCTTGAAGGGTTTCGGGATGCCCCAAACAGTATAATGTAATTTGTTTATTAAATACAGCTTTCCTTCATCCTAAATTCACTGGATTTTCTCTTAAGGGAAAGAAGGCCTCAGCAGATGGTGTTCTTTGGTATTACAACCCTGAGAAAAGTCAGCCAGATTATGAAGAAAGTAAAACTCAAACATTATCAGAGGATGAGAGCCAAGTCAAGCTACCTGAAAGTGTACCTGGGGAGGAGAGACAGACATCACCAGCGTACCTGGAGTGAGTATTAACTACCGGCCTTCCCCTGCTCTTGCTGTGATAGTTCCTGGTCCAGTGAGTAGAGAGACTTCAGGAAGGAATTAATGAAGATTCTCCAGGAAAAGCCTCTTTGACCCAGCTTGACCTGATCAGTGGGTGGGGAAAAGAGAGGTGATAAAACTCCTGGAAGCAAGGAGGAAGGGCTCTTTGTGCAGAGTCCATAATCACAGACAGAACTCTTAACTGAGGTCTGGAGGAGGAGGCTGTTAACCATGTGCTGGCCCAAAGAGCTGGGGGAAGCTTCTAGATAAGGAAGCTCTGTAGAGATCTATAACATCCCAAGCTAAGGAGCCTGTCCTATATTTTAACATCTATTAGGACATGTACAGGGAGAGGAACAGAGGAATTGTGTTTTACCCATTTCTTTTGAATCCCTTGCTCAATTTGGTGCTGTGCTAAAAGTATGCTTGTGAACATTTTCTCTTTAATAAATACTTTATAACTTTTGATGCTGGTAATGGTTCTCTGTACCACATAGACATTCAATGTCTTAGACACACTATTTTAAAAGGAGCGCCGGGGGAAGGCCGGTAGTTGGCAAGTGGCTGTTTCTCCAGGGGCGCACAAGGCAGTGACCAGGTGCTGGGCAGCAGGAGACACAGGGGCAAGGGCTCAGAACTTGGAAGGGAAGCTGGGAGTCCTGACCCTCCGAGTGGGCAATGTCTTACAAAGGTCAGGTGGTGGTAGCGGGTTACCCGAGATAAAAAGAAAAACCTCTCCAGGTGTGGGAAAACTGTGGAGGGCAGGGTGGAACAGGGCCTGCAGGCTGGAGTAGGCCATTCCGCCACATGAGGGGAAAAGTTCCCACTTCTCTTGTATTCCATATTGAGGGGTGATAGTTCTCAGGTATAGACTGGTTGTCCTGAAGCTGCAAAATTGCCTTTCAAACCATCTCATCATCAGGTTGCTGGTGATTTAGTGGGTTCACAGGGATTATTATTTTTTAATGCCTTGTAGCTGCCGGAGACTGAATGAAGCCACTGAAGATGCTGCTGGAAATGAAAACGTGGCAGAAGGGAGCCCTGGTGGGACCTGTCCAGCATCTTCCTGTGCAGATTTTGCTGGCCTTTCTGTGCAGAATTTGCCTTTAGAGACAGAAGAACCTCCAATTTCCCTGCATGTCAGAATCACAGAAGCAGGCAGGCCACTGAGCAAAGTTCCTGCTGCGATGACTGCCAGTGACCTGCTTCTGAACAGGCAAGAATTACTCCTGTTATGCATCTACTAATATTATGTTTTGGATTGCTGTTGCACTCAGGCAGTATCAAAGGTGCTGATGATCTTAGGACGCCCCGAAGCCCAGCTTACTGCCTCCACCTCTGTATTCTAACATGACTTCTAAGGTTGGGAATTTTTTTTAACATATAATGTCTATGAACCAAGGTCAGAACCAGATCACCAAGAGAGATGTCCAGGATGGTAAATTCTGAACCCTGGAATTTTGTCTCTCCAAGATTCTATGCATCTCTTGGAAGCAATGTGAAACTTTTTTTTTTAATTCAGCCTGGCTTTTGATAACCAGGAACCGGAAAGGCAGGATAATATAACTGACGTAACTGTTACTCATCCTGAACCTATGACATGGGGCTAGGGTTGCCAACCTCAAGGTGAGGTCCAGGGTTCTTTCAAAATTACAACTGATCTCCAGACTACAATAGATCAGTTCCCCCAGAGGAAATGTCAGCTTTGGAGGGCAGACGCTATGGTGTACCATATACCAGTGGTGGCGAACCTATGGCATGGGTGCCAGAGGTGGCACTCAGAGCCCTCTCTGTGGGCACGCGTGCCATCGCCCCAGCCAGGCCCAGACCATCATTAAAGTGTCGAATTCTCTGCCAAATAATTTTAAGTAAATGAAAGCATTTGGGATTGCTTTCCTTACTTTGTTTGGATCATCTTAAGATAATGTATGAGTTGTTTTTTCTCAAGTAAAACCTCAGTATTCAGGTTAAATTGCCGTGTTGGCACTTTGCGATAAATAAGTGGGTTTTGGGTCGCAGTTTGGGCACTCGGTCTCTAAAAGGTTCGCCATCACTGCCATATACTCTATAGCAGGAGTGGCCAGACTTGCTCACTGTAAGAGCCACATAGAATAAAAATCAGATGTTTGAGAGCCGCGAGACACTAACAAATATCACGCACACATTTTTATTTAAAAACATGCAGATTTGCCTTTTCTTAACGTTAAACGAGACTGCCAAAAACAAAAGGGGTAAAAACAGATATTGATAATGATAATTTATTTGTCCAATGATATTTATTTGTTTGCTAATGATATTTATTTGTCTGAGAGAGAGAACATAAGAACATAAGAGACGCCAATGTTGGATCAGGCCAAAGGCCCATCCAGTCCAACACTCTGTGTCACACAGTGGCCAGAAATACCAGTGCCATCAGGAGGTCCAGCAGTGGGGCCAGGACATTAGAAGCCCTCCTACTGTTGACCCCCCCCCCCAAGCACCAAGAAGACAGAGCATCACTTGCCCCAGAGCCCCTAGCTATACCTTGTGGCTAATAGCCACTGATGGACCTCTGCTCCATATGCTTATCTAATTCCCTTTTGAAGCCGTCCATGCTTGTAGCCGCCACCACTTCCTGTGGCAGTGAATTCCATGTGTTAATCACTCTTTGGGTGAAGAAGTACTTCCTTTTATCCGTTCTAACCCGACCGCTCTGCAGTTTCATGGAGTGCCCACGAGTTCTTGTATTGTGAGAAAGGGAGAAAAGTACCTCTTTCTTTACCTGCTCTTTCCCATGCATAATCTTATAAACCTCGATCATGTCACCCCTCAGTCGTCTTTTCTCCAAGCTAAAGAGCCCTAAGCGCTTTAACCTTTCCTCATAGGGAAAGTGTTCCAACCCTTTTATCATTCGAGTTGCCCTTTTCTGCACTTTTTCCAAAGCTATAATATCCTTTTTAAGGTGTGGTGACCAGAACTGCACACAGTATTCCAAATGAGGTCGCACCATTGATTTATATAGCGGCATTATGATATTGGCTGATCTGTTTACAATACCCTTCCTAATAATCCCCAGCATAGCATTGGCCTTCTTTATTGCAGTCACACACTGTCTCGACATCTTCAGTGAGTTATCTACTACAACTCCAAGATCTCTCTCTTGATCAGTCTCTGCCAGTTCAGACCCCATCAATGTGTATTTATATTTAGGATTTTTGGCTCCAATGTGCATCACCTTGCACTTGGCCACATTGAACCCCATTTGCCATGTTGACGCCCACTCGCCCATCCTTGACAGATCCCCTTGGAGTGCCTCACAATCCTCACTGGTTTTCACCACCCCGAACAACTTTGTATCATCCGCAAATTTAGCCACTTCACTGCTTACTCCCATCTCCAAATCATTAATGAACAAGTTAAAAAGCAGTGGACCAAGTACTGATCCCTGCGGTACCCCACTGCTTACCACCCTCCACTGAGAAAATTGCCCACCTACACTCACTCTCTGTTTTCTATGAACTAGCCAGTTTTTGATCCATAAAAGGACTTGTCCTTCTATCCCATGATTTTTGAGCTTACTTAGGAGCCTTTGATGAGGAACTTTATCAAAAGCTTTCTGGAAGTCAAGGTAAATAATATCTATTGGATCCCCCTTGTCCACATGTTTGTTCACCCCCTCAAAGAACACTAACAGGTTAGTGAGACAAGATCTTCCCTTACAGAACCCATGTTGAGTCTGCCTCAATAGGTTTTGTTCATCTATGTGCCTACTAATTCTTTCCTTAATAATGGTTTCCACCAATTTACCCGGTATCGACGTCAGACTGACTGGCCTGTAATTTCCCGGATCTCCTCTGGAACCCTTTTTAAAGATGGGAGTGACATTAGCTACCTTCCAATCCTCAGGAATGGAGGCAGATTTTAAGGAAAGATTACATATCTTTGTCAGGAGATCTACAAGTTCACATTTGAGTTCTTTCAGAACTCTCGGATGTATGCCATCTGGGCCTGGTGATTTTTCAGTTTTTAAGTTGTCTATCAGTTTTAGGACCTCCTCTCTCATCACCTCAATCTGACTCAGGTCTTCCAACACCCCTCCTGAAATCAGTGGTTCTGGAGTGGGCAAGCACTTCTCATCTTCCACAGTGAAGACGGAGGCAAAAAATGCATTTAGCTTCTCAGCCATTTCCCTATCATCCTTCAATACTCCTTTTACCCCTTGGTCGTCCAAGGGCCCCACTGCCTCCCTGGCTGGTTTCCTGTTTCTAATGTATTTGAAGAAAGTTTTATTGTTGGTTTTTACGTTTTTTGCTATATGCTCCTCATATTCCCTTTTTGCCTGCCTGACCTCAGACTTGCATTTTATTTGCCATAGCCTGTGTTCCGTTTTATCAGCCTCACTGTGACTAGCTTTCCACTGCTTAAAGGAATTCTTTTTACTTTTTACAGCCTCCATTACTCTGTTTGTTAACCATGCAGGCTTTTTCCTATACCTGTTTGTGCCTTTCCTAACCTGCGGAATATATATTTTTTGAGCTTCTAGGATCGTAGTTTTAAATAGATCCCAAGCTTCCCCAATTGTTTTGACCCTTTCTACTTTTCCTTTCAGTTTCCTCCCCACGTGTCCCCTCATATCAGAGAAATTACCCCTTTTAAAGTTAAAAATGGTTGTGTGAGTCTTTTTGGCCAATTCTCTATTTGTACAAATGATGAACTCAACAACATTATGATCACTGTTTCCAAGCGGTGCAATCACTTTTACATCTCTCACCAGGTCTTGAGTGTTACTTAGGACCAAATCAAGGATCGCCTCTCCCCTGGTAGGTTCCGTGACCATCTGCTCCATAGCACAGTCATTTAGAGTGTCTAGAAACTCAATCTCTTTTTCCCGACTAGAACACATATTGACCCAATCAATGTGTGGGTAGTTAAAATCACCTATTATTACACAGTGTTTTTGTCTAGTTGCTATCTTTAAGGCATTCATCATTTTATAATCCTCCTCTATCTTTTGATCTGGTGGGCGATAACAAACTCCCAGTGTTAAGTTTCCTTTTGGCCCCCCTATTTCAACCCATAGAACTTCCAGAAGCGAATCCAATTCACTTAGCCTCTCAATCTTTCTAGACTTTATACCCTCTCTGACATACAGAGCTACCCCACCTCCAACCCTTCCCCCCCTATCCTTCCGATATAATATATAACCGGGAATCACTGTGTCCCACTGATTTTCCTCATCCCACCAAGTTTCAGAAATACCCACAATGTCTATTTTTCCCTCCGACACCAAGCACTCCAACTCCCCGATTTTACCTCGGACACTTCTAGCATTTGTATAGAAACAGCTGTAATTTCCCTTACAAGTTAAGCCTGCATCCTTCCTCTTGCTATCTCGAGTCGTTGTCCGGCAGTCCATGTCACCAGCCATGGCCTCTGTGGACAATTTCAATCCACCTCCCTGTAGAAAAGCAACCGGTACCCCCTCACCTCTCTCAGATGAGCCAACCCGAACCAGAGACTTTTCATCTCCTGTCGGCTTTCCCCCAATATTCAGTTTAAAAGCTGCTCTGCCACCTTTTTGATTTTAAGTGCCAGCAGCCTGGTTCCTTCTCGGGACAAGTGGAGACCGTCTCGCCTGTACAGCTCCCTCTTGTTCCAAAAAGTATCCCAGTGCCTAACAAACCTGAACCCTTCCCCCCTACACCATCGTCTCATCCACGCATTGAGACTCCTGATCTCTGCCTGTCTCTCCGGCCCTGCGCGTGGAACAGGTAACACTTCTGAGAAGGCTACCTTGGAGGTCCTGGACCTAAGTTTCCTGCCCAGCAGCCTAAATTTCTCCTCCAGGACCTCACGACTGCATTTCCCCACATCGTTGGTGCCGACATGCACCACGACCACTGGCTCCTCCCCAGCACTATCTACCAGCCTATCTAAAACACGCGTAATGTCCGCTACCTTCGCACCAGGCAGGCAAGTCACCATACGGTCAGTACGCGGGTTCGCCACCCAGCTGTCTACCTGCCTAAGGATCGAATCACCCACTACCAAGAGCCCCCCTCCCACCCTGCTCAGGGATGGTTCCTTGGTGCAAAAGGAGAGCCGCTCACCAGCTGGGGAAGAGGTCCCTTCTGAGGGCACATTCCCCTTATCCTCAGCATGGTGCCCTGTTTCCCCTAGACCCTCATGCTCCCTGACAGCAGCGGGGCTGCCAGATCCAGAGTGGGACGAAGCTAACAAGTCCCCGAGAGTCTTTTCTGTGTGCCTAGCTGACTGTCTCTGCTTCTCCAGGTCAGCCACCTTGGCCTCAAGGGAGCACACACGTTCCCTGAGAACCAGGAGCTCCTTGCACCGAGGACACACCCAAGACTTCTGCCCAGTGGGCAGATAGTCATACATGTGACACTCCGTGCAAAACACTGGATAGCCCCCAACCCCCTGCTGGCATTCTGGCTTCATAATTCTTTTAAAATAAATAAATATAATCCCCCTTTTAAACCCTTGGTATTTATGTGGGTTTTGTTATCAAGTCAAATTATTTTACGGGAAAGACAAAGAGCCTAGGGCCTTGTCTTTCTGGCTCTTTTTGGGCTTCTTACAGCGCCCCTAGTCTAAGAGTCCCTAGGCTAAGAGCCACAGGCAAAGAGCCCTTTAGCTCACCCTTCGGCTCGTGCCAGAGGCTCGTGCCTCTGCCAAGGTGCTTCCTTAAATAGAGGCCTCCCCCAGCAGAGGTCAGGCAGCAGCTATTCAAATTCAAATTCACCCAGGCACTCAATCACAGGCAAAACAATGCCCCTTCCACTTCCTCTCAATTACAGGCAATCCCAGTCAAACAATGCCCGTTCCTCTCCCACACTCAATCAGCCAGGCCTCTGCAAGAACTCTAAGTGCTTCCACACACTGCTAAACACAGTTTTCCCACAAAATATCCTTAGCTGAATTCTCTCAGCTGAAAGCAAGTAAAAGAAACCCACTCACCTCTCTCACAGAGAGAGAGAGAGAGAGACGTGGAAGGAAAGAATGAAAGAGCTGGAAAGAAAGAGAGAAAGAGAGAGAGAGAGAGAAAAAAAGAAAACAAATAGGTGGGAGGGAGAGAGGGAGGGATAAAAAGTATGCCTCCCCTTCGCTTCCCCAGCTGCCCTGCCGGGAGCCTCACAATATGTGTGAAAGAGCCACATGTGGCTCCCAAGCCACAGTTTGGCCACCCCTGCTCTGTAGTATACCGTAGAGTCTAGAAGCAACAGAGGGCCTAGAGTGGCTATAGAAGGTGGATGCTAGGATTATGTGTTGTTACCTGTAAAGATACCAAAGGCCAGAGGCTGGTTGGGGACTAAGAGAGGCATGGTAAATGTACAAGCTGATGAATATGCCATTTTACTAATTAATGTTTCTTGTTTGGAAAATGCGACACAGGACTTTTTATGACAGTGAACTGGAGCAATCCGACAAGTTCTACCAGGGACTCCCTCGCCCCCTGAAGCTGGGAGCTGCCTTGTACAACGCCATGGTGTCCAAATCAGAAGTGCTGTGTTACTCTGTGATCATCCTGAACCACATGGTCTCTGCTTCTGTCCTCACTTTGATCCTGCCCGTCCTGATATTCTTGTGGGCCATGGTGTCCATTCCGAGGCCTACAAAATTCTTCTGGATGACAGCCATTGTTTACACGGAGGTGGGTATTCCACGGATCAGGAATCCCCAGTGTGGTGCCCATGAAGAATAGATTTTTATACCCTGCTTTTCTCTACTTTAAGGATAGTGGTGTAACTAGCCTATTTGGTGCCCGGGGCAGATAATTTTTTAACATCCCCCCCTTTTATTTTGCCATCAAGTCACAGTGGACTTACGGCAATCCCGTAGGATTTTCAAGGCAAGAGACATCTGGAGGTGGTTTGCCATTGCCTGCCTCCATGTAGGTCAGACTATCCTCGGGTTATCCAGGTCAGGGCCTCTCCTCTATACGACACTATTATTTTCATCAGGGCTATTTTTGGGCAGGAACGCACAGGAACGGAGTTCCGGCTGGCTCCCGAGTCGGCCACGCCCAGCAGGAACTCATTAGCATAATAGGCCACACCCAACAGCAGAAACTCATTAGGATTGGCTAAATTAGGGGTGTGTGGCCTAACATGCAAAGGAGTTCCTGCTACAAAAAAGGCCCTGGGTTTTGACAATAAACAAAGTAAACAGAATAAGAAGCAAAAGGTGGGTGTGGCTGGATGACCACACTTCTGGTAACATGGGGGTGTGGCCTAATAAGCTATCGAGCTGTGCTGTTATGGGGTGTGGCCTAATATGCTAATGAGTTTCTGGTGTTGGGTGTGGCCTATTATGCTAATGAGTTCCTGCTGGGCTTTATCTACAAAAATGAGCCCTGATTTTCATTAATAATCATGAAACAAAAGGAATAATAATAATGGCCAGGAAATAGATTCAGGTGGGTGGCCATGTTGGTCTGAAGCAGCAGGACAAAGTTTGGTCTTAAAGGTGCCAGTGCATCCAAACTTTGTATTCAGTGGCCAGAAAAGAAATGCAGGCAGTGAAAAAATTCTTTTATTTAGTTTTGTATATATAATCATGCCATTAAAAAAAAATCAAATTCCAACTCGCCATTCCATCATGAAAGCCAGTGTGGTGTAGTGCTTAAAGTGTTAGCCTAGGATCTGGGAGACCCAGGTTCGAATTCCTACTCATGTCGTGGAAGCTTGCTGGGTGACCTTGGGCCAGTCTCGTTATTCTCAGCCGAGCCCTGACCTGGAAGTGACAAGGGTAGCTCTAGCAATCACCAGAAACTCTATGGTAATATTATCCCAGTTGCTGACCAGCTGAGCATCGATGGGCAAGGGCTGCAATTGTCTGGATCGTCTCCCACCATAAGCGGGCAAATGGAAACCCTACACATAGAGCAGGAAAAGCCCTATTCAAATGGGAACCCTATAGACAGAAGAGAAAAAGCCCCATGTCATGAAGTAATTTGCTTCTGAATAATTAGATTTTTCCTTTCCCTGATCAGGTAAATATTCTCATCAAATACTTCTTCCAGTTTGGGTTCTTTCCTTGGGCCACTAAGGTGTATTGCGCTATCAATGCAGAAGTGCCGTTTGTTTTGCCAAATATTGCTGGGATTGAGAAGAAGGATGGCTACGTGCTCTTTGATCTGGTGCAGCTACTGGCTTTGTTCTTCCACAGGTATAACTTGAAGGTACGGCAAGCCTTTCTGCATCCTCAAAGGGAATGCTATCTGTTTTTCAGAGCATGCTCTAATTAAATCCTCCTGTAAGAGTGGATTCCAATTGTAAGTAAAATAGCAAAACAGGATGGGGGAGAGGTTGGCTTAGGCTTGGTTTTTGCTCCCTATTGGCAGGCAAAATCCCACTGATGCAGCCTCATCCTCACAGTCTCCAAAGTCTTCATTCCCACAGCTCAACTGGGGATGGGAAATGGGGCGGGGGGGAATGCCTTCTAAGTGTCGATGTTAATTCTGACAGGAACCTCGAAGTGCCACCAGTGATGGTCTAAGGGTCTTCCTGATCTGCGTAGTGTTTACATTGGTGTTGCTGATATCCTTTCCCCCATGCCCCACCCCCAAAAGTGGGAGTGGTGGCGCAGGCGGTTAAACCGCCTGCTGGTAACATCTGCGAACAACCGTTACAGCTGTTCGAATCCACCGCGGCCAGAGTGAGCACCTGGCCCTAGTCCCAGCTCCCGCCCACCCAGCGGTTCGAAAGCACAATTAACATCAAGATGCGAGTAGATAAATTGGGTACCTGCCTTAGATGGCAGGGGGCACCCTTCCCCTTCCGGGGGGCTGGAGGAGCACTGGAAACGAGACGAGGCGGAGAACAATGGCATCGGCGGCAAGCATGGCGATCGGGTGAAAACATCGTAGCAGTCCAGAAATCGGCGGCGATGGGAGGAGCCAGGTGACGCAAGGAGAGCGTGAGGCGCAGGCGTGGGCGGAGCCGTGATGGACTGAGCCGAAGCCGCGCCGATGCGCACCCAGCGCAGGATGGAGGGAGCTGGAGGGAGCCGAGCCAGCAATGGGCCGAGATGCTGAACTAAGATCAAGAAGAACAACAGCGCCATCTACAGGGTGCTGGTAGGGCAGTCCCCACCCCAATTCAGATGTGGCCATAGTTAGGGATAACAGAGTAACTGTAAGCCGCTCAGAGACCCCCTAGGGGGTTCGAGCGGGGTAGAAGCCGAAAGTAATAAATAATAAATAATAAATAATAAATAAATAAAAGTTGTGGCTCCTTGACAGAGCATCTGCTTGGCATGCAAAAGGTCCCAGGTTCAATCCCCAGCGTCTCCAGTTAAAAGGACCAGGCAATAGATGATGTGAAAGACCTGAGGTGTTCTCAGTGTTGTGCTCTGAGGGTGCTGTGCTGTCCACCTGAGAACCCGGAGAGCTGCTGCCAGTCTGAGTAGACAATACCGATTTTGATGGACCCTTGGTCTGATTCAGTATAAGGCAGCTTCATGTGTTCAGTTGTTCCTGGCATACTCCTGCTAACTTTCTATAGGCCTCCCATTTAGCCATCCAGGGTGAGGACTTACCTGCTCCCAGTGCCAGTTTCTGGCCCCCAAGGGACTGAAGAGTGAGAGAAAAAACAGCCCCCTCAGGAATTTGCTTTATAGAGACCAGGGGAGGCAACCTAGAAAGTCACCTCAAAGCGACATCACTTCCACCTCAAACTCTGCCCCCTCCAGACACCCCCCCCCAACTGGTGTTTGCTGAAGCAGTGTGGGGAACCCTAGGAAGAGGGTGTTTCCTGTCCTTTGGTAGTCGCCAGAACTCCATGTTCCAGGAAGTGTTCCACCCCATTCAGTAGGACTACCGTTCTGGGTTGGGAAATTTCTGGCGATTCCTAGAGAGGCGTGGTATCACTTCTGAGTTTTCCTGGAAGTGACATCACACCATCGCCAATGGCTGCCCCCCATGTCCCCATCGCCCTGATCTCCTGACAGTTGCTGGGCCTGGCAGCCCTGGTTGAGAGGTTGCTGTGGGGTGTGTGGAAAGGGGACAAATTGCTCTTTGTCTGTGCAGTTTTGTTGACAGAAGAGAAAGGAGAGAGGATTTGGCCTCCTTTTTCTGCTCCCCATTGCATGCCGTTATTAGTCCGTACGTGTCGTGTGATCCTGGGAATAAACTTTCTCTGGGGAGGGGAACACAGGAAAGATCTGCAGTGCTTTCATTCAGGCGTTATTAGATCCGATTTACGACCTCTCATTTTACAAAGTGTTTTTGGTTCTCATGCTTTAAACTGGCACAACAGATTTCAGTGTATAATTTTCTATAGTGCCATGGGGTTTGGGATTCCAATGACATCCAGACCTCAGACCCCAAGAAAAAGAACTCCACAAGGAAGCAGAAGCAGAAGGAAAGCAGAGACCACCCAAAAGAACCTCAGCCTGGATTAGGAGCACAGCAGCTTTGTAGACTTCCGAGTCCTCCCAGGACTATCTTCAAAAGAAATGCCAAGAAGGAGAATGAAGGTAGGCCTGTGCGTTTGACCGTTGTGCTGTTGTGGTGAAGAGCAGAGGGTTTAATATTGCAGTGTGCAATAGATGATGAGCAGCAGATAATGGAAAGGTATCAGAGATGCTTGTACACTTCAGACATCATGCCAAATCATGGAAGATTGACTAAGGTCCTTTCTGCACTTGGATCTCATGATCCCTGGTTTTATCAGAGTTCAACTCGGGACACAGTACCTTGCATTTATCCCAGGCAAGTGTGGGGCAAAACTGGGGTGACCTCAATGTAATGTGGAAACAAAAGATACCCTGAGATAATTACAGGGGTGAACTCAAGTGTAGTGTAGAATGTAAGTTCGGGAACAGGGTTGAACCAGGATTTATAGTCTAGTGTGGAATCACCCACTGATTGAGAATGTTGTCTGAAGGTACAAACTGAATGTAAAAACTATGGTTTGTGATCAACTAGCAAAACCAAATAAGGAAAAATGGTTTGAGGTGGGTTGACATGCTTTGATTTGTTTTGCTTTAATTATGAATTGATACTGCGTCTCAACTGGTGGTGTCATAGATGCAACGAACATGAAATTGAGCAAACTCCAGAGGACAGCAGAAGACAGGAAGGCCTGGCGTGATCTGGTCCATGGGGTCACGAAGAGTCGGACTCAACTGTGCGACTGAACAACAACAACTCAACTGGTGGTGCTCTAGCCACTGTTATAGCTGTCATAGCCACTGATTAACTTCCAGGCGCCATCGTACTCGGAGTGCTGAGCAGATAGAAAATGAGAGTAGCCATGGATTTGCCTGTATATTTGGAAGTGCAAACCAATGGCTTTTGTTCTAGACTATGGCTAGTTCAAGTCATGATCTGGCACAGTTTCTACCCCCCTTTCAAGTCAATACCAGCAGGTTGGGGGTCCCCTACTGTGATCCCAATCTGAACTGGGCCTTGCAGGCACCTGGGAATTAAATTCTCAGAATGGGCCACCCCAAAACATCTGATGAAAAGTCCTCAGGGCTACTATAGGAGAGAAGGCAAGGCCTCTGAAAACCCACCTCAATGGTTAGAAACAGAATGTTTGCGCTGATAGCATATAGAAGGCTGTGCTTTCAGCAGGTGGACCCCACACGAGCTGGTGGAAAGCTACGGAGTCTCCCCCCACCACCATATGATCCGAGGTCGATTTGGGGGGGATCGCGGGGGATCGCAGTTTCCCCGGGTGAGGTGCAGGGTGGCGGGGCACACGACGAAGCCCCGCCCCCTTCTTCCGGCCGCCCCCTTCTTCCAGCCTCATTCTGTTGCAGAAGGAGGAAGAAGCAGGAGGGTAAGTTGGCGTCCTCCCCCTCTGCCTGGCCGAGGCCACTCCATGTGGTCTCCGCAAGGACTCCCAGCCCCATCCAGGAGCTTCCCCGAGGTAGCTGTGTTAGTCTGTTGCTGCAAAATAGTCCAAGAGTTCAAATAGCACCTTTAAGACTAACCTTTAAGACTAAGACTAACTGAGTGGTGGGTGTGGCCTTATGACACACTTCCGGTGATGTCAGGGTGTGTGGCCTTATGACACACTTCCGGTGATGTCAGGGGGTGTGGCATATGCTAATTAGTTATGCTAATGAGTTCCCCTAGCTCTTTTTCTATGAAACGACCCCTGCATATGATTATTTATTCTGCTAATGACTGCGCTTTGCTGTTTTATGGGTTCCTGTTATCACTTCTGTGGACTATTTTAATGATTGCGTGTTTTTTTTAAATTTATTTCGATGCTTCGGGTGCTTTTTCCTGAGTGGGGGGCATCCAAATGTCCTAAACTGTAAACATTCGATATGAGGGAAATGACGATTTCGCAGATTGAGCACTGTGTGCTTTCTGTTGGTCAGACGGATCTCCGAAAGAAGCCAAGAAGAAATGGAGCCTTTTAAAAACAAGCCTGGCTGATACGGAAGGCTCAGCCAAGAAGAGCAGAAAACTGACACTGCAGAAAGCAAAAAAGCTGGTGATTAAAATGTAAATGCGAGTACATTTTTATTTATTCAAAACATGTTTATCTCTCACCATCAGTACCATAAGTTTTTGGTTAGCCAGAATCCAACGCCCTCTCCCCAGCAAAGTTTCGTAGCCAGAATCCAACCTGCCCTTCCTCCAGTCTGAAGGGTCTTCTTCCAAATAAAGTGGCCCTTGTGTCAGAGGAAGAGCCACATAAGTTGGAGGAATTCTCCTGAGGTTGGAGGGGAGCATAGAACGTTGCTGAGTGGTGAAACTCAGGCTGTTGGGTCTGTTAAAAAGGTGGGGCTGCTGCAGGGTTTCTGCCCTGCACAGTTTCACTTCCTTTGTGTAGTTCACAAAGTGTTACATGGCTTTTGTTTCTGAATTTTCTACCTGGAACTTTTTGAAATGTTTGTTTATGTTTCATGAGTGCAATCCCTACTTTGCAATCTGTTGAAAAAATGCAATTGTAGCATATGACGACCTCTTATCTGGGGAGGTCTGGTTTCCCTTTAAAGTGTTCTTTATGTTTTGTTTTACTGTGTATATCCGGCTGCCACCAGGAAATTTAAGGCTTTCCAAACCTGTATACTATACTATTTCTATCACTGGGTAGGTAGGTCAGTTTTAGGCTTTCGAGGTACTAGTGTGGTCCTGGGAAGTATTTCTTTCAGAACTGGTATCTTAAATAAAAGTAGATTTATTGATATAATTCGTAAATAATATGGTAGTACACTGTAACTAGGAATGGGTAAATACTAAACAATTGCTTTGATATTTCACACACTTTTCTCTCTCACTGTCAGGGATCTTGGCATGTAACTTTGTAACACTTTTTTCCTTCAGACCATATACGTTTACTGTTTCACTTTAGCCTGTCACTCAGACTTTATATTTTTCTCTTTAACTTTACTTTCTTGTTTCATATACATTTAACTTTTCTTCATACACAGAAATAACTCCTAAGCACACACAAAACTGCTTCTCTCACAGAAATCAGAACAAACTCTTCTCAACTGTCTTCATCAACTGTCTAAACTGTAACTGTCACTCTTGACAGACATACATATTAATCCACTCAGAACCACTTCCAAAACCCCTCCCCCTCTCTGTCAATCACCAATCACACCACTCTTGTCTCTTCAACCACTCTAATATATCTCAGCCATGCAACCAAACTTTTAAAGGGACACACACACATATAAAACAAGGAATCATTACATAGCACTTGTCAGTCTAAACTAACCCTGTATAAAGTGTTACCTACACCTGTTCCCACCCCCTTTAGGTTGGTAATGGTCTGGTGAGTGCCCCTTACCAAGGCGGGTAGAATGTTAAAAGAAAGTTAGCTGGAATGCAACACAAGTTTATTTAAACAATAAAATAGTTTATTAGCTAAAGCCAAGCAGGGAATACAAAACAGAATACTTACTTCCACAAAAAAAAGAGAGAGTCAGTGGTTAAATATACAGAACAAAGATTTCCCCATGCACAGAAGCTTCTGGACTGGCCCAGAGAGACCACGAAAGACAAAGCCTTCCCTGGATCTCCGAGAGTCAGTGCTGAAATGAAGTGTCTTGCCTTCTTTTATACCATATTGGTCCCATACATTTCAGTAGAGCTATAGAAATTATAAACTGCATCAATTAATCTAACTGCCCTGGTAATGTGGGCCATTATGGCCCAGGAAATGTTCCCACATTCCAGAGGCAATGGGGTCACCCTGAGGCTTTTAGCAAAACAATGCAAGATAGCACCTAAATTTTTAAATGACAAACACAAGAATCCTTACAATTTTAGGATGTTCTTTGTTTCCTTGAATCAGGGCAGACAGTCAAGCACTGTCTGCTGGCTGGAGGTGTGATGTGAGTTTCTGCATGTAGGCAAGCCTTTAGTATTGCAAATATCCTGGCTTCCTTGACCTAATGGCAGGTGCATACCAATCTTTTATTTTTAAACGTTTCCAAGTTATTTAGATTCATGAACAATGTAATGCAAATGTTGGTTCCTGTGTACGTGATGGAGGAAAGATATCTCTTGAGACAAAGGCCTAGCAAAAATTATGTTCGGAGTCATGTTCACTGTGCTGATAGCTGCTTGGAAAGTTACAGAAACAGAGGAGAGAAAAACACTATGATTTCTTTATAAAATTAAATGTATAAATGGGTTTTAAATTTTCTGAACCAACTATTTTATTTTTCTCACCACACAATCCAGTGTAGAGTTACTGCAGTCTAAGCCCCTTGAAATCAAGAGGTTTGAACAGATGGGAGTGACTCCACATATGATTGCACTTGCAGTAGGGTTTCCAACACTGCTTTGGCACATGCCTAGAGATTTTAGGGGTGGGAAGGCCTGAGTTTCGGGATGATGTGATGTCACTTCCAGGTGATGCTCTAGGCTGCCTCCCCCAGTCTCTGTAGTCTTTGCTGTAGAAACTAGGGGGAATTCCTAGAGTGTCTCTGTGTGGAGGCCATTTCCACCCCTCTACTCAATTTCTTTGGGATGGGAAATTGGAGTGGGTAGTTCCCCACCCTAGGTGGGTAAATGGGAAGCCTGCACTGCAGATGCTTGCTAGCAAAGCCAAGTGTGCTGAATGTGTTCTCCTGAAGCTTTATCCATGTGAGATATCTGTTTGAGACGCATGGCTCTCCTTTACAATTTGACTAATTTAGGTTCATTTTTTTACTCCCAGTGTTCTCAGGGTTTACCGGCCGATCAGACAATTCTTCCATGACATAATCTACCCAGAGTACAGTGCAGTCTGTGATGTTTATGCTCTCATGTTCCTAGCTGATGTGATCAATTTTATTATTGTCATCTTTGGCTACTGGGCTTTTGGTGTAAGTATATGCATGAACGAAAGTCTCCAGGGGTTCAGTAATGCCTGAGACATGCAATTTGGTAATCCTAGACGTGTAGGAGTTGACAGTGGTGGTGGGGAGATCATTTCGCATATTCTCACGTTCATATTGTTATTTCTTGACATGTTTTAAGTTTATTTTTACTTATTTGAAACAGTTTCCTCCCTTTCTCCAAAGGAATCCTAGGTGGACTGGAGTTAATAAAAATTTACTTGAGAGTAGACTATAAGGAAGTTTGAAGCAACACAGATTCTTCACATCTGTATTTGAAAGCAAGGAATTTAAGCAGAATCTTGGCTAAACAAAAAAGAAATACAGCCAGATTTGAAAATGGAGTAGAAATGTTTTGAATAAGGCAAATAAATCTGCATTTTAAAAATAATCTAAATTTTAAACATGAAGTGTTGCGTTGTTTTCGTTAAAATTTGCCCCAGTAATAGGACTCAGAAGCAAGTTTATTTTTCCCATGGAGTGTGTGTCATAAAATTGGCAGCAATATTTCTGTTCAATATTTTTGGAAACATTGGTGATGAAAAGTGGCGTCAAGTCACAGCCAACATTGCAACCCTGTAGAGTTTTCAAGACAAGAGACGGACATTATATTCAGTGGGACTTACTTCCAGGAAAAGGATGCTGTTCAGAAGTGTTGAACGCCTGCTTTGGATGTGGAAGGTCCATGGTTCATTTCCCGGCATCTCCTGTTGAACATTCTTAAAGAACAGGTTCTGGGAAAGCACTTTCTCTGCCTGAGACCTTGAGGAACCTTTGCCATGCAGAGGAGCTAGTATTAAACCAGCTGGATTAATGGTCTGATTCTCTACTAGGCAGCTGCATATGAAACAGAACTTGATCCACTGGAACTCTTATCACATTGTGGGGTTCTCCCCCCCCCCCCACCTATTGCATTCAGTCTGTTTTCAATTTACAAGCAGAGAAAAGACAATCTCCTCGTCTGCTGTGCTGGGTGATTGGTTTGGGCACCTCACCCATAGTGAAACTCACGTGCTCCAGAGGTTCTCTGTGAATTCTGCTTCAGGCGTTGCATTAAGAGTGGAGCAAGGTGGAGCATGAATCACCACATGCGTCTTACTCTACTCTGTAGCTGGCCAACAGACAAAAAATAGGTTTTTAATTTCATCTACAGTTGAGGGGCGGGAGCAGAGCAGATGTCAAAAGCTCTGCCTTTAGTGGAAACAGTCTCTTTCTTCCAAGCACCTCCTTCCAGGAGGTAGCTTCCTGCTAGGTTTCCAAGTAGGGTCACTCCCAAACTGTTGTTTGGGAAATTCCTGGAGATTGGGGTGGGGTGTGTGGAGCCTGGGGTTTGGGAGGAGAGGGGCCTCAATGGGGGTATGAGGCCATAATAGCCACCCTCCAAAGCAGCCGTTTTCTTCAATGGCACTGATCTCTGTAGTCTCCCTCTAAGCTGTGGAGTCTTGTGAGCAGAAATTCTACTCTGTAAGCTACTGGCATTAAAGTTGTGAGTGAGCGATCTTGTTGCTGCATAAATTAGCTTGCTCTGGAGCCCTCCTTCCTGAGTGAAGACAAAAATGTGTGAGCTGGAGCTGGAGGTTCAAAAACTGTGAGCTAGCTCACACTAACTCAGCTTAGAGGGAACAGAGATCAGTTGTAATTTTGGGAGATCTCCAGGGCCCACCTGGAGGTTGGCAGTCCTGTTTCCAAGAGCTGAAGGGGAGGAGCAGAGAAGGTAGTAAAAGACGATCCTCAGCACCCTCACGAAACTACAAGTCCCAGGGTTCTTGGGGGAGTGGAGTTATAACAACTAAGTTGCTATACTGCATGGATGTACCTACTGGACTTCCCTCCAAAACTCACGTGAGGCGGCCTTCTACTGAATCAGACCCTTGGTCCATCAAGGTCAGCATTGTCTACTCAGACTGGCAGTGGCTCTCCAGGATCTCAGGCAGAGGTCTTTCACATCACCTGCTGCCCATTCTGGGGATTGACCCTGGGTCCCAGAGGCTCAGCCACTGATCTACGGCCCCTCCCCAACTCAGGGCTGCTTCTTTTCTTTCATACCCCTATTTTAGAAACAAATGCTTTCCCATTCTTTCAGAGGCACTCGGCTGCCGCTGACATCACAGAATCCCTCTCCGAAGACCAAGTTCCCGAAGCTTTCCTTGTGATGCTTCTGATGCAGTTTGCTGCAATGATTGTCGATCGGGCAATCTACCTGAGGAAGAACATGTTTGGGAAGTGCGTTTTCCAGGTGGTCCTCGTCTTCGGCATACACTTCTGGATGTTCTTCATCTTGCCTGGAGTTACGGGAAGGTACCACAATGTCCAATTTGAGTGCAGGGGGGCCGGGTACGATCTCGTGTTAATGATCCAATAGACCAAGCCGTGGAAAGACATGGGAGGTGCTGTTGATGTCATCCATTTTAACCCCCTTGAAAAGACACTGTGTTTGCTTTTGCCCTTGATCATGATGGTTGCTTGGCTGGGGGGGAAAAGGTCTTGGATTGCAACTCATGTACACGTACAATGGGATAGAGACTTGCACAATGCACATGTGCGTGAATATGTGCAATCAAGGCACCCTAATTCTGTAGCTGAAATGTGTAGACATGTAGTAAATCCATGCCCTGACCTAGCCCAATCTTGTCAGATCTTAGAAGCTAAGCAGGGTCAGCCCTGGTTAGTGTTATGATGGGAGACCACCATGGAAGTCCAAGGTCTTGCTATGCAGAAGAAGGCAATGGCAAAACACCTCTGTTCATCTCTTGCCTTGAAAACCCATAAGTCGGCTGTGACTTGACACCACATTACACACAAACGGTAAACCCATATGTACAATATTATGGATATATGCTTTTATAGATTGTCAGGGTGAGGGTAATGGAAAAAGAACAGGGATGGGGTGCATAAGACATTGAGGGCGGTAGCTACATACAGAATAGAGCTCAAGAGCTACAAATGCATCACTCTTATTTATTTGGCTATGCTGCTATATAAATAATGAACAACAGGGATGGTAGGTATTAACATCCATTTAAAGTAGACATTGATCAACCCTCATTGTTCTAAGCAAACCTGACATGGAACGTCAGTCGGATGCAGGACATCCAGGTGTGGGCTGCACAAGTATCTCAAGGTACTGACAAGTACAAATCATGCCATAATGGGCACTTGTAGATCTTTCCCCCATCCAGCCAATGTCCTTATGCCCATATTCCTGTCTGAATGAATAACTATGAATGGGTGGTGCGCGCACATGGTTTCTAAACCATTTCTAATCTAGCCGCTGGGGTCAGATAATTGACCCCTTCTCAGAAAAGCCACCATTCCGGCTGTTTCTTTAAGGCAGAGGGCTGCAATTAGTTCTCCCCTAAAGTCCCAAGAATGGCATGAGAAATGACCATCGGAGAGGAGTCTTGCACTGTGGGATGAGGACCTGACTTTAAGAAAGCTTACATCTAACCAGGTGGTGGTGGTGGTGGTTGTAGGCAACTCTTGGCACCTGTGCAGAACAAGGGAACACCAGTCTATTTCCCTCAGTGCTCAAGAATCCAAGGCAGGCCCCTGATATGATGGCAGTGCCACCGGAGGAGGTGGCATGGGGGAAGCAAGGGGCATGGATCCTGCCAGCTGTTGCTTCCTGGGTGCTGCGCAGCAAGGCAAGCCCACGAAGGGCTGGTGGTGGTGCTGGGGCTTGGCTTACTCCCAAGTATATCTGACCAAGCAAAGCCCTTATCTCCTTCCCCTCCTTGTTTGCTGGCATGCCAGCATCTTTATTGGTAGATGTTGCCCATTTTCCCCAGCACTGGGGTATTATTGGTGTTGTATGTATTGTACATTTATTGTTGGGATTTTAACTTTTAATTATTTATTGTATACCTTTTCCGTTGTTAACCACCCTGAGCCCTGCTTGCAGGGAAGGGCGGCCTAAAATCTAATTTAATAAATAAACACTTATATATAATTGTATTTTGGTCATGGACTCTCCTGAACGTTCCACACGCTCCCAAATCAGTTGGCTCCCTGATCTGTCACTCAGAGGGTGTCCCTAACCACTGGCTGTGTTGCCTGAGTCCTGCCTCCAACATTCTAAACAGTTTGCCTTACCTCTCCCTTCCATAGCCAGTCAGAACACAGAGGTCATTTGCATATGTGGTCTGATTGGCCTTTGCCTCTAACATTCTAAACAGTTTGCTGTTGGTAGTCACTGAATGTGTCCTGAGGTAAAATATATATCCCAATCTCCTTGTGGGGCCTGGAGATCTCCCAGAAATCACCGTGTTCCCCAGTCACCGTGTTCCCCAGTCACAGCATATCATTTCCCCTACAGAAAATTTCCCAGCTATTACAACTGATGTCCAGATGACCAAGATCAGTTCTCCTGGAGACAATGGCTGCTTTGGGCAGTGGACTCTATGGCATTATACCCTGCTGAGGTCCCCCCCCAAACCCTGCCCTCCCCAGGCTCTACCCCTCAAATCTACAGGTATTTCCCAACCCAGAGTTGGTAACCCTGTAACTTGCTATGGAACCACTTTCCAGACCCTTGGAACCCAGAAGACATGGCATAGGAGGAGGTGCTTTTCTACCTTAGCTGCCACTGCATAGCCCCAAATCAACATAAGTCAGGGGTGGAGGAAACCATACCTGTTACCATGAAGCTGTCCTCCCATACTACCCACTTGGAGCAGCAAAATGACTTGAGACAGCCCTGGCTTATAGCTAAGCAGAAGGAAATAAACATGGCTTGCCCCCCTCTATTTCCCCCTTCCCTCTGCCGTCCCACCAGCCAAAGCTGGGACACTCACCTGGCGCTTCCTTCTAGAGCTCATTGTATTTCTTCCCACAATGGACCTTACTCCTAGTAAATACATAAAACAGTTGCCTAGGCCTAATCGAATCTTCTATTGCTCAAGAGGGAAATGGAGGTGTTTCTTCTGTTCCCTTGCAGGAGGTTTAACAGGAACCCAGTAGCCCAGCTGTGGTATTTGGTCAAATGTGTCTATTTTGGCCTGTCAGCATTTCAGATCAAATGTGGTTACCCTAAACGGGTTTTGGGCAACTTTCTGACCAAGAGGTACAACTGCATAAACCTCTTTCTGTTCCAGGGGTAAGCTCTGTGTTACGTGTGTTTTAAATAAAAACCTAAAAGAATTTGATCGATTTTGATTTCTATTCCGCCCTCCCCACGAACGAAGATAGTGTTATCTTCCTGAATGTCAAGTCATTCTGTTCATTGCTTCTAGGAGCTCCAGAAAGATAGGTAATGGCACTTTTGTAATGTACGTCTGTGGCCCACGGCTGAAGCAGGGCAATATCACAGACCTCTCCTGTTAAAAAGAGAACAGGTCACTTGAACTGCAGCCGTAAGAGCACTTTCCTGGGAGTAAGCCACATTGATAGATCGTCTTTACATATCCTAGATATTTCTTTACACAGAGAGTGATTAAAATGTGGAATTTGCTGCCAGAGGATGTAGTGATGGCCACAGGAATAAACAGCTTTAAAAGGGGATTAGATAGATTCATGGAGGATAGGTCTATCAATGGCTGCTAGCCATGATGGCTGAGGGGAACTTCCAAGTTCAGAGGCATTAAACCTCTGAATTCCAGAGCCAGGAAGAAACATAAGGGTCTCTATGCCCTATTGTTGACTCTCCAGAGGAACTCATTGGCCACTCCGCAAAACAGGATGCTGGACTAGGCATGCAATGGAGCTGATGGGCAATAGATTCAGGTCAGACAAAAGGAAATACTTCTTTACACAGAGAATGATTAAAATTTGGGATTTGCCACCAGAGGATGTACTGATGGCCACAGGTCTCAGTCTCTATGCCCTATTGTTGGCCATCCAGAAGAACTGGTTGGCCACTGTGTGAGATATGAATGCTGACCTAGATGGACCATTGGTCTGATCCAGCAGAGCTTTTCTTATGTTCTTATGAGAGTAGGAACAGAGAATTCTCAGCACCAAGCTACAGTTCCCAAGGTACTTCTTGGCATGCTATGAGCAGATATATATTCGTAGTATGGAGAGGGCCTCAGACTATGAGAATCTGTTATCACTCTGTAACCATACTAGAATGTTGGTAGAAAGCAAAAGTCACTTCCTGAGTACTGACTTGCCACAGTTCCCTCCTTGGGTAGTTAAAGCAAAATACTGACCCCTACCATTGACCTGCATTCTTTTTTTTCTCTCCTGGGGATAGATTCCGCCTGATACCTTTCCTGACAGAGCTGAGGGCTGCCATGGATTGGGTTTGGACAGACACAACTCTCAGCCTGTCCAGCTGGATCTGCGTGGAAGATATCTATGCTAATATTTTCATCATGAAATGTTGGAGAGAATCTGAGAAAGTGAGTGGCTTTCCTTACTGGGTGATAGAGCCTAAACCCAGAGAACTCAGTAACCAGACTCTAGGCCCCATGACATTCAGCCACAATAAGATTCAGTCATTAAGGATATAGTTACCTATTGAAATTCATGAGTTTCTGCCTTGATTCACCTGTCAGCAGTTTGTATCTTGGGGTCCCCTGCAGTGACATAGAGAGAACTGAGTGAGTAGCGCCCCTCCTCCTGGTCATGTGATCATTTTGGTGAGAAAGCGCCAGGTGGAGGAGGGGCACTCCTCGTCTACTAGGAAGCTTTGGAAATCTTTTCCGCGGCTGGCCTCTGCACTCGGAGTCCAAATGTGTACCTGCACATAAGGACACTCAGATGAACAGCAGTTAGACGTAAGTGCAACCTTATTTTCTCACTTTAAATTAAATGTGCAGATCAAAGTGAAAATGAGTGGAGGTGATGAAAATGGCTGAAGTCACAGCTGACTTATACACAGGGCTATTTTTGGGCAGGAACGCACAGGAACGGAGTTCCGGCTGGCTCCCAAGTTGGCCACGCCCAGCAGGAACTCATTAGCATAATAGGCCACACCCAACAGCAGGAACTCATTAGGATTGGCTACATTAGGGGTGTGTGGCCTAACATACAAAGGAGTTCCTGCTACAAAAAAAGGCCCTGGGTTTTGACAACAAACAAGGTAAACAGAATAACAAGCAAAAGGTGGGTGTGGCTGGATAACCACACTTCTGGTAACATGTGGGTGCGGCCTAATGTGCTAATGAGCTGTGCTGTCAGGGGTGTGGCCCAATATGCTAACGAGTTCCTGCTGTTGGGTGTGGCCTATTATGCTAATGAGTTCCTGCTGGGCTTTTTCTACAAAAAGAGCCCTGCTTATACATAGACCTTTATTGGCATAACACAGGAACAATAAGGAAGGCAATGGAACAAATAAATTAATAGAATGAATTAATAGATCATAACAAGTTACATCAAGTTACACCAACGAATCATTTTTAAACTTCTCAAGAATAGTGAACTCAGTTAAAAAATATAACAATCCAAATGAGCACAAGGGGGATTAAGAATTATGCGCCCTTACCCTTATCTTCCAAACATAAGCTAAGAATTCAGCAACAGACAGGGTAATTGCCGAGAACTTACCAGACAATAGAATTTTAAGACCATTGTCAGTCGAACTCCTTGTGGAAGGTAAGTGGGGACTGATCAAATAGCTGCGCATGGTAGAGTATTGGGCACAGCTGACTTATGGTGACCCTGTACAATATTCAAGGCAAGAAATAAAAAGAGGGGGTTTGCCTTTACTTGCCTCTGTGTAGCAACCCTAGACTTCCTTGGTGGTCTCCCATCCAGGTACGAACCAGGGCCGACCCTGCTGATGAGATCAGGCTAGCCTGGGCCAATGTTAGATGCTATATATTAAATAACTATTGGGAAATTATTTCAGATTCCCGTGCATATAATAAAAATGAATAGGTCATGTGTTAATTCGGCAGATGTCTGGACTATGAAGAATTCCAATTTTTTTCCCCTTAGTGCTGAGTTTAAACCCACCAAGTGCAGAATTTTTTCGGGGGGAAGGTTCAGTTTGATCACAGAGTCTACACCCATCTCAGTAATTTCCCATTTCCTGTTTTGCAGAAATATCCCCAGCCTCCTGGCCAGAAGAAAAAACTGATTGTGAAGTATGGAATGGGGGGTGTCATTATCTTTGTGCTGATCTGTATTATATGGTTCCCGCTGCTACTTATGTCATTGTTGAAATCAGTGGCTGGAGTGACCAACCAGCCTCTGGATGTGTCCATTCAAATCACCATCAGCGGCTATGAGGTAAGATGGGATGTGTGTTGTCTGTGTGTGCCTCCTGAGTAATGAAATATTTGACAATCAGGCTCCATTCACATTATCCAAAGCTGCCAATCAGCTCTGTTAGAAAGTCAGAGGAACATGCAAACCACATGGGGCTCTTCTGTACTCTTATTTACATTGTGTGTGCACCATTGCTTTGGGGTTTTTTCTTTTCCTTTTCTGCATGTGTTTTGCTCCCTCTACTGGTTGCTTCGATTTCAAATTGCTATATCTCTGGCCTATTTCCCTGGACTTTAAAACTGCAGGGAAATATGCTGAAAATACGACAGTGTAAAATCGAAGCAACCACTAGAGGGCGAAAAACACTTGTGGAAAATAAGATGAAAAATAAAGCAGTAGGGGCACCCAAGAGACTAAAATAAGAGTGCCGAAGAGCCCATGGTGTATCTCTTTAAAAGGGAATGGGTGGGGGTGCAGCATCACTCAGTGCTTGATCCTACTGTGGGTGGTGCAGAACTTGCATGATATGTACCTGCTGTAGCCCGCAGGTTTGGCAAGATGGGATGCTTCCACACAGAGATGGATCTCCTTAGAGCTCTTGTTATTGCCACATATGCTGAGGCATTCTCAGTGTCACACAGAAAATTTTCTGCACTTTCTTTGCCTCATACTTCCATGGGTACCATTTCCCCCCATAATCACCAGAAGGTGTTTTCAAGCCAAAGACCCTTAGAAATGGGCTACCAGAGGAGTTAAGGACGACACATGATTCGTTTCGCATGTGGATTAGGGTATTCTTTTCACATGTGGATTAGGGTATTCTTTTCACATGTGGATTAGGGTATTCTTTTCACATGTGGATTAGGGTATTCTTTTCACATGTGGATTAGGGTATTAGTTTAGCATGTGGATTAGGGTATGATAGGCTGTTAGTTTCACATGTGGATTAGGGTATGGTGGGCTCCTGGTATGTTGATTTATGTCTCTTGGTTTTTTACTTTATTTGCTTGTTTTATATGTTTTCATGCTTTCGCCTGTAGGTCCCCTGTTTTCAGGAGGACAAAGCGGGGTATAAAATTTCAAATTAAATAGATTAAAAGACAGGTACTGGCCCACAGTGCAGAGTTCATGGGTTGGATAAGCACCAGCAAAAAATGGCTGTCAGACTAGCCTGCGGCTTTGAATTTAGCCTAAAGTGTGATGTGTTTTGTTGGAGATCAGCTACTCTACAGGTCTCGTTTTTTCTTCTTCTTTCTTTCTCCCAGTCCTTATTTACCATGAGTGCTCAGCAGCAAAATCTGGTCCCTTTTACTCCTTCAGCGTACAATGACCTCACCATTCAATATGCCCTGCATCCTGTAAGTATCTTCTGAGCACACAGAAGTTCATAAAGCACAAATTACAAGCGATCCCTTACGTTGCTGGAACTGCCAGCCATTTCCCCCCTCCCCCAGAATAAAATGGCAGCCATGTGCTCTGCCCTGGAAACACACTACTCCCAGATATTTGGGGGGCAGGTTGTGATGGTGGTGGGAAAAGGCACTCTGCCCATGCTCAAAAGCAATCTGTTCTTTAATGTCACATATTCTGAGGCTGAAACTGCTTCCTAAACTGAGCTCTAATCCAGTGAGGTCTAATTCCAGTTTGACTTGGAAGCAAAAAAACTTTCTTGATAATGGGAGAGGGACCGTGGCTCATTGGTAGAGCATCTGCTTGGCATGCAGAAGGTCCCTGGTTAAATTCCTGGCATCTCTAATTAAAAAGACCGGGCAGTAGGCAACGAGAAGGACCTCAGCTCCCTGGAGGGTTGCTGCCAGTCTGAGAAGACAGTTCTGGTCTTGATGGACCAATGATTCAGCATAAAGCATCTTTGTGTGTGTTTGTGGGGTCAGAATAATTCAAACCAAATCTGATCAATTCTTACCACTTTTAGGGCTGGTTTTTTTGCTATGTTACATTTTCAGGCGTAATTTTAGGACAGGTTTGCCCATCACCACCCTCATATCAGGGCCCTGGGTTTACAGTTCCCACCTGGGGATTGGCTGTACAATGAAGATCCTCCTATTGGTCATGCACTGGTTTTGTAGCCCTGAAGGGGCAGGACCATTTTGATGCTAAAAATGGCCGTAGCTAGCCTCGCCTTCCTTGCCTTCCTGTAAAGATGATGAATTGGCCGGAAGGAAGCCCCCAGATTGACATTTTCAGTATCTCTTGTACAGCTAGACTCTTCGCTTGGAATCTGGAGCAGGAGGGAACAGGAAGCTTTGCTGTGTTTTCTCCCACCCCCACCCCCAGCACACGGAGGCCCTTTCCGCACTCTCCTAATCCATGTTCACCGCAGTGTCCTCTGAGCCATTCTGCACTAAAATAAAATTCAACCTTCTTTTAAATCCAGGTCCCCCCCCTCCCTCTGCATTAAAATCGAGTTCAACCTTTTTATTCCGGGTTTTACCCCCATTCTGCATTACACTGCCTCCCTTCAGTGGTCAGCCCGGTTTCGGCCTGCTGTTGCCCCCGGGTTATTTGGATGCTGTTTTGTTGTGGACTTAAACTGCCTTGACCCGAACACTGAGAAAATCTGGAGTGGCCAGGCGAATGTGGAAAGGACCTGAGTTAACTTTACACTGCTAGAATGCGGTCACATGGTCCTTTTGATCGGGGTTCACCGCTGTTCCCTCTCGCATTTAAATTTTCTGTCCACATGTGCCCGTCCGCCTCCCGTGCCGAAGCAGGCTCACTCCCGCAATGTTTCCGGGTTTTCCTGCCCCCGGGACAATCAAGTATTTTCCTGGCACTTGCGCTTTGAATGCGCGATTTCGCCTATCTGGACAGCCATCTTTCTCAATGATTGTGATTAGGGCCGTCTGACCGTTCTTTGTGCAATTTTTTTCAAACCTTCTGGCTTTGAGCGCTTGAGCAAACAAGCGCTCATCCTGCTTGGAGAAAAGCCCTGTCCGCCCCAGGAGTGAAGCTGCGGTGGGCAGCAGGAGGCGGACGTTGCTGGAGGGGGAGATGGGGGGGGAGTGCCGGGCCGGCTTTCGGGCTTGCAGGCGAGCGGGTGGCGGACCCACATGCCAAGCTGGGCCGTCCCTTGGCTGGAGGAGGAGGTGGCGGCGGAGGCGGGGAGTGCGACTTACAGGACTGGAGGCGGGGGCTCTGGCAACCTGGACGGGGGGTCGGCAAGGAGGATGGCGGAGACGGTGGGGCTGAGCCTTCATGGGGTAATGGCAGCAGCAGCAGCAGTGGCACCCCCCCCCACAGCAGCGGCAGGAGCAGCAGCCGCCGCCCGAGCCTGCCCCATGGCTGGCAGGATTGCCTGGAGGGGCTCGGTGCGGTGGAGGGTCCGTCGCAGCCCCGACGAGGCGAGCTGAGCGCAGCAGCCCTCTCAGCTGGTCGGGCAGCAAGAGGTGGCTTGCTGGAGGCAGGCAGGGGAAGGATTGACAGGCGAGCGGGTGGTGGAGGAGAGGAGCCGGCGTCATCTAATCAGCCCAACCCGAAGAAAAATGTTCCCGATTAAATTAAATTAAAGCGGGAACAAAGCACAATTAACTTGCCGGTGTGACCACTAGGGCTGCCAAATGCAGCCGGGGGGCGGGGATCCCCCCGCTTCGGAGCCCCGATTTCCGGCGCACCAGAATCGGGGCCCGGGGGAAACCCCACCCCCGCGTGCGCGTCACCCGGAAGTGACGTCGCACGCTGGGGGCGGGGCCACGCCGTTTGAGGGGAAAACAAAGAGTTTTCCCCTCAAATGGCAGCCGGTGACGTCCTGGAGGCGCGCGCACACACATACAGACACAGCTCCCAGACCAGCAGGAAGAACCCCCGCCGGTAGGAAAAATTTTTTTGTCAACCCTAGTGACCACAGCCCTAGATGAGACCAAACTGGGCTGAAGTTGAATGGAAATGGTATCCTGTACAAGCTTGTAAAAGCAAAAGAGAGGAGAATCCCAGAGCCTTCTCTGTCTTGATTAATTAAAAATAATAAAGCTCATGTATTTCTTTTCCAGTCCGCCATGCAATTTATAGTGAACTACAGCCCAGAGGATATTGTGGTTGCTAAAATCAAAGGCAACGCCAGTCTGCTGTGGAGCATCAGTCCCGCCAGTCGGAAAGCGATGATTGATGAACTCTCCACTTCTCCCGCTATCTACATCAACTTTCACTGGACGCTTCTCAGGTTAAAGGAGGAGTATGCACATATTGGCATGACATCCTAAAGAGCTGCCCTTTTCACTGTTCTATTGAGTGATCAAAAGTAACCAAGTAGCACCATGTACAATATTTATTGCTTATTGATTATTAGAGTTTACTACCATATAACCTATGAAATTCTAACAATATAATTTTACCATAATTTTAAGGTATAAGTCTCCAGTTGTTCACAAATACGAAGTTTCACAAGGAAGGAACAATAATTGGTTAAGACCTATTTCAAAGCTTGTAAAAGTAGCCAAAAAAGGGGTGGTGGTGTTGGAGTTGCTCCCAATATTTAACCGTGGACAGTGTAGTCCAATTACAATGGAGATGCTATCAATGACCAACATGCATCAGGGTTTTCTGCATGTTTCAGTAGCCTTAAGAACATAAGAACATAAAAGACGCCAATGTTGGATCAGGCCAAAGGCCCATCCAGTCCAACAGTCTGTATCACACAGTGGCCAGAAATACCAGTGCCATCAGGAGGTCCACCAGTGGGGCCAGGACATTAGAAGCCCTCCCACTGTTGACCCCCCCCCCAAGCACCAAGAAGACAGAGCATCACTTGCCCCAGAGCCCCTATCTATACCTTGTGGCTAATAGCCACTGATGGACCTCTGCTCCATATGCCTATCTAATTCCCTTTTGAAGCCGTCCATTCTTGTAGCCGCCACCACTTCCTGTGGCAGTGAATTCCATGCGTTAATCACTCTTTGGGTGAAGAGGTTCTTCCTTTTATCCGTTCTAACCCGACCGCTCAGCAATTTCATGGAGTGCCCACGAGTTCTTGTATTGTGAGAAAGGGAGAAAAGTACCTCCAGGCCTTCTTCCAGGTCATGGAACCAAGAGTAATTATTTGGATAAGCAGCACAGAATGCTGTCTGTTCTCTCATTTGGCAAATAGGTTCTTCCTTTCTAGGATAATTTATGAAATTCCTTTCGAGGGGTAGCCCTGCCTGGCCATCCCTTCTGCCCCTTCTGTAGTGGCACAGAATGCATATGGTCCAAGTGAGAACAGTGGAATATAAATGATGTAAATAAATAAAAATGAATTAAAATATAGCACAGGATAAAATAAATAAAAATAAAGCAAAAGGGAGGAGAATCCTAGAGCCTTCTCTGTCCCTACCCCAAATTGTATCTATGTGTTGTAGTGGTTAGACTAGAATCTGGGAGACCCAGGCTCGAATCCTCACTGTGCCTTGGAAACTTGCTGGGTGACCTTGGCCCATTCACACAGTCTCAGTATAACCTACCTCGTGGGGTTGTTGTGAGGATAAAATGAAAGGAGGGAGAATGCAGAAGAAGAAGAAGAAGAGATTGGATTTACACCCTGCCCTTCACAACCCAAAGGTGTCTCAGAGCGGCTTACGAACTCCTTTCCCTTCCCCTCCCCACAACAGACACCCTATGAGGTAGGTGGGGCTGAGAGAACTCTGACAGAAACTGCTCTTTTTCAAGGGCAGGTCTTATCAGAGCTACGGCTTGCCCAAGGTCACCCAGCCAGGTGCAAGTGGAGGAGTGGGGAATCAAACCCAGCTCTCCCAGTTTAGAATCCGCACACTTAACCACTACACCAAACTGGCAGTTGCAAGCCACTCTGGGTCCTGATTGTGAGAAAAGAAGGGCCTAAATGAACAAACATTTTCAACCACTGCTTGTTTTTTCCTTACATCAGGAATGTCTCTCTGGTGAAGAACATCGAAGCATCTGGCATACACACCGTGCGCTACGAAGAGACGAGAATACGGAAGGAAATAGTCCACATGCTCTGTGGGAACAGGACCGAACCAGTGTCAGTGCTTTATTGTTCTGCTCCCTGCTTCTTTTGGTGGCCTTGTGGCCCTGCCCTTGGAAACTGTTCAGGAGCTTTCCATTCATGCAGAGTGCTGGAGGCTGCCTTTGGTGGAGAGGGGGACAGGCGGGAGGAACTGTGGCTCCGCGGCGGAAGAGAGGCCCTGGATGCAAAAGTTCCCAGGTTCAGTCCCTGACATCTCCGGTCAGAAACAGGGAAAGACCAAGGGCACCAGAGGTGGAGGGGCACCCAAACCAGCTTTATCACACACACCCCGTCTGCCCACAGCATCGGGGTCTGCCATGGCAAGCAGAAGGCCCAGGTGGCACCCCTGACCCCAGTGGGCAGCCCACAGCAAATCTGCTCCTTTCCTCCTGTGGGAGGGCAAGAGGGCAGGGCCTTTTTCGGGGGGGAGGCTTTTTGCCTCTCAGTTGACCCATGTGAGGAGGCATTGCACCATGGTAAGGCACAGCCCAGGCACTAGTGAGGACACCATGAATAGAGGCAGCTTATCTATGTTTTAGGAGCTGCGGTGGCTCAAGTGGTTAAGACGCTGAACTGCAGGCTGTGGAAGGTCAGTAGTTCAGCTGTTCAAGACCCGAGTTGCCGCATGACGGAGTGAGCTCCCGTCTCTAGTTCCAGCTCCTGCCAACCTAGCAGTTCGAAAGCAAGAAATTGCAAGTAGATAAATAGGTACCACTTCGGTGGGAAGGTAACAGCGTTCCGTGCGCCTTGGTGTTGAGTCATGCCGGCCACATGACCATGGAAACGTCTTCAGACAGCGCCGGCTCTTAGGCTTTGAAACGGAGATGAGCACCGCAACCCTAGAGTCAGACTCGACTGGCTTTCGAGCAAGGGAACCTTTACCTTTTTATCTATGTTTGGGGGGGGAGAAGAGGGCAATGATGGCACCTTCCTTCCAGTTTGGGGGGGGGGGGGGGGGCTGGGGGGGCGTTTGCCTCCGGCATCAAAAAGCCTTGGGAAAGACTCTACTGAGATCAAAAAGAAAGCTCCAGCTGATATTCTGGGCTCCAGTCAGCCTTGAAAACAAGTTCAGGTTCAGTATTGTTTACTTGGGCAGCTGTCTGGAGTCTGAGATTGAGGTCTTTCACATCACCTACTACTGGGTCCTTTTGGCTGGTGATGCCTGAGGTTGAACCTGGGACTTTCGGCATGCAAAGGGGATGCTCTACCACTGAGCCACAGCCTCTGCCCACAAAACAGGCTTGCTTGCTTTAAACGAGTGGGTGATTAATCTCAGTCCCTCTCAACCTCACTGGATTGCTGAGAGGATAAAATAGAATGTGTTCCACCCTTAGCTGGTTGGATATACCCATGAAAAGTAAACGCAGTTAAATGTGGATTGCACAGTCTAGTATAAGAAGAGGTATCATTCATTAAGGTTCGGGTTTTCCTTCCCTCCCCCCCAGTCTACTTCCAGGTGTCTTTCCAAAATACCTGAGGGCTACCAGTGGAACAGATGCTAAAATTGCACATCGGCTGCAAGTGGGTAAGTCCGTGTGAGGAGGAGATGTCTTGTGAAAAACAAAAACCAGCCAACTTTGAGGTCCACCTCAAGAATCTCAGACCTCCTCATCTCACTGCTGCCACCA